ATAAAACTATATATTTGTCAGTATTACATATAAAAAAAAAATGCAAAAGTACATTTTTAAATTGATTTTAAAAAAGTAACGGAAAAGTAACGAAAAGTTATTTTTCAAGTAACGGTAACTGTAACGAGTTACTTTTAAAAAGCGATAACTGTAACTGTAACTAGTTACATTTTTTACTCGGTAACGAGTAACTGTAACTAGTTATTTTTAAAAAGTAACTTTCCATTCCCTGATAAAATATAATAATATATTATAATGAGCGGCTTCGAATCGTAGTACGAAAAAGATTTTGGCGTAAAACCTAGATATATGTCAGGCAACAGCAACAAGAACATTTTTTTAGGAATATACGTAGTATACAAGTAGTATATAAGTAAGCGTAAACTTTAGCTAATAATATATTAAAAAGTAACCTTATATTCTCCATCATATGTGACAAAAATATTCCAATATCTTCAAGTTAAATAAGTGTCAGTTACAGCCAGTTCATAAATCAAGTATACAGTGGACTATTTACTATTAGATATAACATTCTAATGGCCGTTTCCACCAATATACGTATTTCATATATATGTGTAAATGTATACGTATATATATTAACTTTAATCTCAGCCCAACTCTTATTCTTTATCTTTTTTTAACCATTAGAACTAGAAACATGTAAAGAATAAGTTAAACTGAAATTAAACTATTAAAGTCAATTTGCACTGGTAAAAATAGACATAAAAGGACTACACAACAGTTTATGGTTTACTCGGCTTACAAAAAAACCACGGCTGCTACTACTTATATTCAACTTGAAAATCCATAACCGCTTCTATTATATATGCAATAATGAATATAAAATTACTTTTTATTATATTTTAAGATTAAAGATGACTTAAAATCGAACAAAAACGTACAATTTTGTATCTTTAACATTTTAACAATTGTGTTAATTGTTTGATTGGACGATAGCCATTTTGTCTAATCGTCTAGGGTATGATATATCTACACGGATCGGTAATTCAGTTTCATGGATCGTTGATTCCTTCTAATTGTTTAATCGATATAAAATGGACCGTAAAACTATCAGATTTCGGACTACAACAATTAAGAATAAATAAAGCATTCGACTTTACTCACATCAGGAACGACGACACAAGATGGCATGGTAAGCTAAAAGAAATTTTTTCATCTAATTCGATAATTATACATACTTCCAAATTTTTATAATTTTAACTATTACTATAAACTCTTCTTTTTTCGTAATCTTCTTTAATTTAATTGTATCTTCTTTGTAAATTGAGAATTATATAAAAAATAAAAGAAATCGATTCAATGCCTATTTAATGCTATATAATGATCACAAAAATACAAATCTACACAAAGGAACGTTGTGCCGAGAATGCGTATCACTCAAGAAATTTTTTTATTGTACTTTTTTTGGTATGATTTATATAAACCATACAATATAATAAAAAAATTACTTTCTAAGTATTACGATTCATTATTTTTTTCCTTACTTTTTTGTAATGTTGAATTAATACATTAGATTAAAAAATTATTACTTAATAAACAATATTAATTGTAACTATCAATATTAAAACTTAAAATTTTAATTTAGTCTTCATATAGCAATTTTTACATTTTTTTATATTAAACTTGTGTAATAAACCTTTTAAATACTTTATATTAATTTGTTTAATAAAAAAACAATTGTTACCAAAAAAGTAACAAAAACCGTAAGTAATTTAAATCCAGCTTAAGTAATATTAAAATATAAAAATAATGTTATATTAAGTAATATTGTACAAGTGTCCTATCTTTGCCAAAAATTTTGTATGGATACGAAAGAAAAATAGGATAAAGCTTAAACAACATGACTGCTCATTTCGGACACGGCTTTTAGGCTTAGGTGATCGATAAGGATTAAAGCATATCTCCCCTATATTTAATTCACTTCCATAGGATTGCTGTATAAAGCACCTGAATTATTACGTATTACTCGTGCCAAACAGCTAAAGGTTCATGATTTTAAAAGAGCGGACGTATATTCATTTGCCATAATTTTGTATGAATTACATGGACGACATGGACCATTCGGTATCACGGATTTAACAGTAGATCAAATACTACAAGGAATCGTAACAAATAATGAATTACTTAGGTAAGCTATTGTAATATAATTTTATAATTTTTATAATTAAAAAAATTGAACAAATTTTCTTTATTTTCTCACTTAACAATAATAGACCTCCATTGGATCAAGTAGAAAATATGCTCGATTTCGTTCGTGATTGTTTGCTTGAGTGCTGGTCAGAAAATCCGAAGCTTCGTCCGGACTTTAAATCGATAAAAGACAAATTGAATCCGTTACGAGATGGCATGTAAGTTTTCTTTATAATATTATATAGACAGAGAAGAAGAAGAAGAAGAAAACGTTATTTCTCATAAAAATTATCACTTTTCGACCGCTTGTATGTCCAAAATGCCTTGACCGATTTTAAATTTTTTTAGCTCAAATTACTCATGGCGATGTTGCCTTTCAAGACATATAACGATCGATTCAAATTTCTTTATATTTTAGTTATGCACCCCCGAAAAATGGACTTTGATGGCTCGGGATAACAGACTTGTAGTGTCTTTCAATTTTTGAATATGGCCGAAGATACTACCGCGTCTTCTGATATACAAAATAATATTTTATTAATTCTTATATCATGAAAGCAATATTTTCAAGAATTATTAAGTCTACTTTTTATATAATCATTCGCTTATAATTTCTTTTCAGAAAAAAGAATATCTTTGACAATATGATGGCGATAATGACAAAACAGTCAAATCATCTTGAAGTACTTGTTGATGAACGGACGAAACAATTAGTAGAAGAAAAAGTAAAAACAGATGCTTTACTATATAAAATGATACCGCCTTCCGTAGCCGAAAAACTAAAAATGGGACAAGAAGTAGAGGCTGAAAGTTACGACTGCGTCACTATTTACTTCAGTGACATAGTTGGCTTTACATCGATGTCTGCAAAAAGCACACCATTAGAAGTAATTTTTATATTATTATGAATGTATTATTATTGATTGCTGTAAACTGGATTCATTTTCCCTATTAAAAATATGTGCGTGCGTGTATAAAACTATATATTCGTATATACTTATAGAATGTAAAATACATGTATAACTACATATTCCATTTCTGTCCAGATGATAACCTTTCTCAATGATTTATACACGTGCTTTGACTCGACGATAGAACCATTTGATGTTTATAAGATTGAGACCATAGGAGACGCTTATATGGTTGTGAGTATTACAAAAACAAAGGAGGATACAAATTTTCAAGGAATTCCCACGGGGGGATCGTTTTATTTGTATGTTTTCTTATGTATTAGTTTAATCGCAAAGTTCCGTCCATCTAACGGCGAATATCTATAGCTGTTGATAACTGTAATGTCTAAATCAAGCTTATTTTTTTAATTTTACCCCATCTGTCAATAAAATTCAGTATATAAAAGTATATGTTTGCATCAATAATATTTTACAGTATCGAAAATGTCGAAATTTGAGGCAAATAAACGTCATTGCGAAGTGTTAATTTTTTGCTTCAAATGGAAAACTGCAGCTGAAGCTGCATCGAATGCTTGTAGAAGTTTAAGGTGATAGTGCTCCTTTCGATAAAACATGCAGAGAATGGTTTCGACGCTTTCAAAGTGGTAATTTTGATGTGGAGGACAAAAGAGTGTTCTGGACGGCCAAGAGCATTTGAAGACAAAGAATTATAGGCATTGATGGATGAAGACCCATGTTAAACACAAACACAATTTGCTAAAGCATTAAATTGTGCTCAATATCTTTTATTTCCAATTATTAAGAAAGGTCTACAAGGAAGGAAAATGAGTCCCATATGAACTGAAGCCAAGAGACATTGAAAGGCGTAAAATCACCTGCGAAATTTTATTTGCTAGGCAACAAAGAAAGAGATTTTTGCATCGAATTGTGACTGATGATGAAAAGTGGATCTATTTCGATAACCCCAAACGCCGAAAAATTATTTACAATCCAGGTCAACCATCGACATCGATGCCAAAATGCAATATTCATGGGAAGAAGGCTATGCTGTGTATTTGATGGAACCAGAAGGATATATGTATATATGTACCATGAACTGTTGAAAACTGGTCAAACAGTCATAGGGGATCTCTACCGAAAACAAATAATTCGTTTGAGCCAAGCATTGCACGAAAAACGACCAGAATATGAGAAAAGACAGCATAAAGAGATTTTGCTTCATGACAACGTTCGACCTCACGTCACTAAGGCTGTTAAGGAAACATTGGGAGCACTTCGCTGGGAAGTGCTACCTCATGCGGTTTATTCATTAGACTGTGCCCCTTCCGATTACCACTTCTTTCGGTCGATGACACACGCACTTGCTGAGAAACGCTTCAATTTTTATGAAGACCTCGAAAAATGGGTCTCTGACTGGATAGCCTCCAAGGATGAGTTATTCTTTCGCCGCAAAATTCGCTTGATGCCCGAAAGATGCGAAAAAATTATTATTAACGATGGACAATATTTTGATTGATGTACTTTTTTATTTTGTTTCTTAAATAAAATTATACTTTTTGCAAAAAATGGACGGAACTTTTCGATTGATCTAATATTTTTTTTTTAGAAATCGGAAATAATCATTATAATAATCATTATAATATGCCAGACCTAAGGAAAAATTAGTAAAAATTTTTCCTAAAATCTGGCATTATTATAATGGTTATTTTCGATTTCTACGAAGAAAAATACATAAGAAAACATATACAAATAAAATGATCCCACGAGTGATCAGGAAACCTTCGAAAATTTGAGCCCTTCTTTGTTTATGGAAATTATTTAAAATATAACTTTGTTGTGTGGACAAAAAAATTTTGTATTGCTGAAAAAAAAACTGTCGAATAACTCTACATTTAAGGGGATGCTGGAGCCGCCTGTATTACCGATAAAACTAGCGTTTTTGACGTTTCCGTTCCTATCTAATTTCTTCGTAATAGTTTCGCAGAATAAAAATTTCTTCTCCACGATTTAAATATTCAGATTAATGTACCTGCCCCTAATGTATTTTGTGTCCAAAGCTGAAAAAAGTATGAAATCATAGATTTTTTTATCTATTTAACCTCAGTATGGCGACCAACGCTGAAGATAAAAATGGATTAAAGAATCTGTAATTTCATTTTTTTTTCATCTTTTTGGACACAATATACATAGACCAGATACATTAGCACGAATATTAATCGTGGAAAAAGAATTTTTATTCTGCGAAACTATTATGAAGAAAGTAGACAGGAACGAAAACGTCAAAAACGCTAATTTTATACCAATAATACAGGCGGGTTTAACATCACCTTAATATGTCTCAGTTAAATTTTGTCTCCTAGGTGAGCGGTTTGCCGATGAGAAATGGTATTCGACATGCAAGAGAAATAGCGAACATGTCGTTGACTCTTTTAGAAATCATAAAGCAGTTTACCATTCGTCATATACCGTCTGATGAACTATTACTTCGCATAGGAATACATTCCGGTATGTTTTAAAGTGGAAAAAATGTCTAATAGCAAATGAATAGTAATAATCTTTTGACAGGTCCAGTATGCGCTGGCATCGTTGGATCAAAAATGCCACGGTACTGTTTATTTGGTGACACAGTGAACACTGCTAGCCGTATGGAGAGCACAGGATTACGTGAGTATTATTAAAAATTATTTCTTAACATACATTTAATTAAATAAAATAAATATATATCATATATAAATATATGTATAAACATATCGCAAATATAATTGAAATTGAAGAATTTAATATATGTATATGTATATACAAAGGTGGATCAGATACAAATGAGAACTTTTTTTTAAAATTTGTTTATATGTAATAAAAATATAAAATAAATATAAGTAACAAGGCTCAATAAAAATAAATGATATAGAAGAAAGGCTACGAGCCTAATAAATTAATTTAATTTAACAGTAATGAATGTAAATATTAATAAAAATGAAAAGTTCAAGCCATGTTCAAAAAAGGATACTTGATCGAATCGCTTCTGCCTTCTGCTGTCCCTTTCACCGCGCGCGGTTCAAATGCCGCACGATGCTCGAGCGACATTTGATCTGTGCGCGGGGCGGTGAGATGAGGGGGACAGCGAAAAGCCGAAGCGTTAAAAAATCAACCGAAAGTTACATACAGTTTATGTATATTCAGTTTGTATTGGCACCTTTAATTAATAATATATCAGTTACTTTTCATGGTAATATATGATTATTAGATAAAAAGGTTTAAATTTTTGAGTATTCTTTTTTGGCTTGAACTTTTCATTTTTATTAATATTTACATTCAATACTGTTAAATTAAATGAATTTATTAGGCTCGTAGCCTTTCTTCTATATAATTTATTTTTATTGAGCCTTGTTACTTATATTTATTTTATATTTTTATTACATATAAAAAAATTTTTTAAAAAGTTCTCATTTGTATCTGATACACCTTTAATAGTTATGCACCCCCGAAAAATGGACTTTGGTGGTTCGAGATATGAGACTTGTAGTATCTTTCAATTTTTGAACATGGCCGGAGACACTACTGCGTCTCCTGATTTAACAAAACATGAAACAAAAAAATATAAAACCTTTTTTAAATTAGATTTTGCTCGATTTAGACCGTTTTTTCTTTAAACATTTTTTTATTTTTCTAAGTAATCTCTTCATTTGAAAACACATTTTCCCCATCAAACTGGAAACTTCTTTATGCCAACATTATAAAAGGAAGGTGGACGTATTTTCAGCCAATTACGCATGAAGGCCTCCACTCCTGCGTTGTCCGCAAAATGCTTCCCTTTCAATGCCTCTTTCAAGGGTCTAAATACTCTAAATATTTGAAAATCACATGGATTGCGGTCCACTTGTTTCTTCCAAATACTCTCAATGCTACGTTCCAAATGCTATGCTTGAATTGATTCATTACTGTTCCAAATGCTACATTTACTACATGAACGCTCCAGCCAATCCACCTTCCGAGATTATGCAGTTGGAGCGAAAACGATGCTGTATTGATGACGTAATCAGAGTTGCTGGGTGCGTTCCAAAGCGTCAAATGAACCAATCATATCAGTGCTACAAATAATCTGTAGCGTTAGAAGCTACATAATTAAATAAGTAGACTGCAGTCTTAAGTCTGTACTGTAGAAGCTGTTCAAGTGTGCAATTCAGGAAATTTGATGCAATTTTTCACGCGTTTGTTTCGCCGTGTGTGGCCGAACGTCGGTCGGTCTCCAGAAGTTCTCGAACCACACGAATTTGTCTTCCGTTAGACTCGTGCTGAGACAGCGATTGTGATTCATATTTTCGACTCTCTCTCGTCCTCCAGAGATAATCTTGTGCCAAAAAACACACGAGGCTGTGAGTTGTTTCCCCGACTTGTTGGCGTAATCTACGGACAATTTCAGCAGGCCGATCCTCTCCTTCATCAGAAATTTAATTATGACTCGTTGCGCAATGAACCTCTTTCTTGATCATCTTGCTGCAAACTGTCGTACCGATCCGAGGACGCTCTCAGGCTAGAAATCCCTTGCTACACAACATCCACACCAAAATATTTTTAACGTTGCATTGTCTTACTTTATCTTCTCTAGGCTCCAGACTTGTTCATATTAGGTTTACCCTTGTATAATTTTTATATCTTGTTTATTTTTATATCTAAATAAAATATAGTGATTATTTAATAAAAACATCATAGTTCTTAATACACATAAATGTGATCTTCTGTGTTTTCGTAGCGCTGAGAATTCATTGCAGCCTTGAGACAAAGCAGCTGCTAGATGAGCTGGGAGGTTTTAGACTTGTCGAACGAGGGTCGGTTTTCATGAAGGGAAAAGGCTTACGTTTAACATATTGGTTGATCGGATCAAAGTCAATAAGCGAATCTGACGAGGAAACACCAAGCAACGATAACAAAAATAATAACGTGACAATTGTTTCGGTTCATAAAAGTTCTCCGAAAAACGAATCTCTCGTTAAATCAACTTTCACGAGATGTTCTAACGATTTTCCACAACGTTTGCAAACTAGCAGTTTAAATCAGCTTGATCAAAAAGGCTCCAAATCAGATACGATAATCGATATTAGCCCACGCAAAATTGCATGCGAGTTACGATTGTCCTGCTCGGAAAACTGGCAATCCTCCAGCAATTCGTGTCCCTGCATCAAGCATCTGTTCAATCAGGAAGCCCAGTCGGAACAGATAAAACATGAATTGTCGTCAAATATCAGTAATGCATCGCTGCTTCACAGTTGTAAACTTAAGTTCGGCGACAAGTCATGTCTTGTACATCCTGCAGCCAATAGTTTCCGCTTCAATGCCCTTAGAATATCCCAATTTACTTATAACTCAATATCCAACAGCATGCCTGAGCATACCATAATAGAAATGGACACTCCAGAAAGACTGACGCAGTCGTACCAAGAAATCGATAGATTGAATGCCAATACACCACTACTCTGTTATCCAGGTGGTCACTTAGATTCAAATTCTTTAAATCAAAAGCGATATTAATACCTTAAATTATTGTAAATATGCTTACAGTATACAATGTACCAAAGTGCACTGTATATACAAACATTATACATATCAATATGTATTTAGTTTAAACAGAACAATCATATATGTATTATATCTACATCTTTGTATTTTTGACTCCCTTTGTTGGAACAAACAATTATAAAAGCTTCGTGCTTCTTATTGTTAGATAAATGTCTAGTCAATATTACTCTAAGTATCTTTGTCTCTGACTACTTCTATAACTGCCAAACATTATATAAATAATATAATCTATGTAAATAATATGTAAAAACAGATTAACTTTTTTAACGTTATACAAGAAAAATCAATCATTAGAGTAATCGAAAAGATAAATATTATTACTAAACATATTTCAGCTAATTTCTAATATAAACTAATAAAGTACTATAATATTTAAATGTTTAATTATATTTTCAGGAAAAGATTTGTTTTTACATATGTATATACAATGCCTTTCATTCTCTTTCTTTTTGTACTTTTCAAAATGTTTAAAAAATATCAAGAAAACATTATAAACTAAGATCCATATTTATAAAAAATAAAGAGAAATTATTATATTACAATATTTTATTGTTGTGTAGAACTCATTTCCAACACATATATTACATATATAGATACTTATAATTTATGTACCTATTAACGATTCGCATAATTCTCGAGTATAAAATGATAATTAATTTTCGTATTATATTTTTTATTCCCCTCCTCCCCTTCTCTCTCTCTCTCTCTCTCTCTCTCTCTCTCTCTCTCTCCCCCTCTCCCCCATCTCTTTTCATCTTTAAATAATTATTTTTATTAACTTTGTGCAATAAATATACACAGAAAATGGAAAAAATGTCTTTATACGTCTTCCAAATTCGTCATCACTGTGCATACATTAACAATGCACGACTTATTGTTAGTTTACGCAGACGTCATACATAAGTGCAATGGCTTCAGACGTAACTCAGTACACGCGAACAATGCGTGATAGAACAGAGGCGATAATGCAGAAAGATCCATTACGTTATTATTATTGTGGAAATTAATTAGACTCGACTGGCGCAAGAGTCAGCACGATGTTACGCATATAGCTTACATATTTCTATGCTTTTATTCCTCGTTTATCGTCTATCTCCATTGGTCGCCAGTTAAAAAATATCGATGTGACGGACGTATCAAATAAAACAGTATATAGTAGCTTAAAAAGGATGATAGCCCACGGCGTTAAAAAAAAAGAAGAGAGAGAGAAAGAGAAAACAGAGTAAACGAACCGTTTATACGGTTTTAGACTATTTGCTTCAGTAAAACGTTTCTGCACCATTGACGAACAAGCGATGACCACTTCATTTCCAATTAATATTTCCTACCACGTGTGTCGTTTACACAACACGTATCTCGACGTATCATCTTTCAGAGGCCATGAGCTATTTGCTTTTTCACGCAACATATTGACGTTTTAACAGCGACAGTGATTTTTATTGAAGCAAAAAACTTGCTTCGTGAAAGAAAACAAATGTGACAAAAAAATTAGTTAATAATAATCGTATTCTTATGTTCTCTCTTCTCCATCAAAATATGTATTTTATTAAAAGATCTTAAAAAAGTATTTCATTTTAGTACCTTTTCCAAATTTACGTCGAAGATATATATATAACGGTACAACTAATTACTTATATACTTACATATGTCACTTATTAAAAAATTAAATTGTTACATATTAAAAATTTTATTAATTAATCCGACTAATGACCAAATTGCGAAAAGATAAGCCTTCATATTCGACTCGAAGTAAACCACATTGATAGTAATGCGTTGTAAAATTTGAGAATTCAATTATAGAATGCAGAACCAAAAATCAGAGAATAGAAGAGTTACATTTCATTACTTTCTATAATAATAATTTGATAATGATGTTACAAATTTTTATTATTTAATGATGATTTAACTAGGAAAGTTACTTTGAAAAGTAAATTTTCACTATTACGCGTTTTATTTATTGAAAAAAGTAATGAGTGATGCCATAAAGTTACTCAATCGTTAGAAGTTACATTAAAAAAATACAATAACAAGTTACAAATTGCGAGTTATTTTTTTTAGTAGGTAGCAAATGACTTTTTCAATCCATTATATCTAATTGTAAGTAATTATCGACAGTTTCAATTTTGGTGTTATATTTTTATCATCATAAAAATTTGCAACATTATTAATACCAAATCGTTATCATAACAAGATAACGTTAAACAAAGTAACGGCAGTTACAAATAATAATAAATGTTTACTTTCATTTTCTGCTAAAAATATTGATTTCAGTTTACATGGTTTGTTACGTCGCGGGAACGCCTCATGACGATACAACCAGCACAGCACAACGCGGCGGTGCGTCGAGCGTCGACGCGCGACGGCAAGTATGTCCCGTCGAGAGCCTTGCAAATACAAAACTAATTTCGAAATTGATTGCACCGAAATTATTGGAAGCAGACAAGATCACGGACGATCGCGGCAGCCTCGAATTTAACCAAAATAATCGAGATTAATATCTAGAACAGAATCTCGTTAAAAACGCGTTCTCAGCTCGTAATCGCTTCGATATATCGTTATCTCTCAATCTAACAGATAATTTAATTACTAAAAATAATAAATACAGCAATATCCCACACGCTTAATTGAATTAATGTCTGCGATACGAGATGGTTCAAAATTGATGTGAATAGAGCAATTATAAGTCGTAATTAAAATTCTATAATATAATAATTTATTTTATAAGCATTGATACAGGTACGTGTGGATTGATCACTGTATCAGCATTTTAGGTACCGCCCGTTGTTATTATTATTATATTTATATTAATAAATAATAATAACGGCAGATTGTGTCTAAAATGTTGATGTAATAATTTGGTCGTAGCGTTTGCGAAATCCAGTAAAAAAAAACAAAAACATATAAATATACATTGTATAAAAACAATAACAATTAAAAACGAACTCTTAAAATTCACATCGTACACGCATATACAAACAGATAACAAAATCACAAAAATCACCACGAGCAAACGGACACCCTGTATAACGAGGCGACTTTTATAGGCATATACAGAATGGGGTACTGTCTTATATACGTTGAAGTGGTTGTCGGTCAACTTAGAACGGTGGCCATCATTCAATCAAACCGAACAATTTAAACAGCCCGGATTCACGTAGCGAAATCATATAATATTTGACGTCAAGCATGATTATCGTATAACGCTACGTAATAGCCGTTTGTTTGTACAGGTTGCAAGCGGCGCCGTAATTTTCAAATGGCATATTTGCACTTCCCTGAGAACGACACTGCTGAACATATTGTTATATTGTTACAAAACTCTTTGCACGCATTCTTGAACACGAGTCCTATCTAGCCGTATTACGAACCTGAGTGTTGATAAATAACATAGAAGGAAAGATGATAAACAAGGATCCGAATCACCGACATGCTCGTGTAAAAAAAAGAAATCTAATTTAGCGTGATAAATTTTCAACATAAAAATTAAGATAGATAGAACGATTTTCTGACGCAACAGAATACATTACACTGATAAGAATCAAATTCTAGATTACCATTTACATTAGTTAGTATAAATCTTGAGACTCTTAAAATATATCAATTTATTTTTATAAATTTTTGAAAAATGTATAATTTTCATTAAAAAATTATCCTTAATTTCGTAGAATTAGAGGTATATTCTAAAGGTTAGACTATTTCAAACGTTATATAATATGTATATTCTGGCATTATATACTAAATCAATTGTGTGTACCTCTTATTCGAAAACACCTTGAGTATCATAAAATTACGTAAATAAAGGATTCGTTTTACACGCTATACTGCAGGTATATACTGCAAGAGAGAAGTTTATAATTAATATTTTTAGAAGATGACTTTCAAGATGGCTAATAGATCAAGTCTCAATGTATTAATACAATATTAATCGTTGCCGGCGGAACATTATTTTAACTTTACGCTGGACCGCATACGATCTTTATTACGCTTTTATTAGATTCTCCTTCTACCAGCCGTATCTATTATATAGAGACACTGAATTATCTTCATCCGTTCTAGAAACAATGCGATACTAAAAAAGAATTCGAGAAAATGTCATGCAGGAATGACAATGGTTTACCGCAGCTGATACGAAGCGCAAAATGTCACACGCTCACTCCCGCGACGAATAGAATTCGCTCGTTAGTAAATCGAGTTGATCGATTATACATATCACAATTGATTATACATATGTGTGTGTGTTTTCGCAGTTTGCGCAGATATTGGAATTGAGCCTGGGAAAGGCGATCAGCCGTTAGGCTGGAGTCACACTGAGCGGAAATCTACAGCGGAACGGAACAGCGAGACCAGTCACAATCGCAGAAAGTAAAGCAGCGGAATGATTGTAGAGTTCTGATTGGTTTCACTGTTCCCCGTTCCGCTGTAATTTCCGCTCAATGTGACTCCAGCCTTATACACTGTGTTAATAATGTAGTTTGGACATTTCCTTCTCTAGGACACACAGGGACACAATTTCTATCTCCTCGTAACACACACTCGCTCGCACCTGCGTGAATGAGTGTGCGAAAACGAGTTGTTCACGGACATGTAATCACTTTAAGGTATAGCTTAGGTCGAGAGCTCAAAATAAACTTGTCGCCGCGATTCGGCACATTCGAACATGACGGCCGACATCGTTGTTATTTAGCCTGATGATTCCTATCGGTACGATTTATTCGACCGATGTGCGAACTCAAAATGTGTTTGAGAAAATCACATTTGGATTTCCTCATTTTGATAAACGTTTTGATAAACGATAAACTCCAAATCAAATTCGTAAAATTGACTTCATAATTGAGTACAATGGTTTAATTGAATATATCCCATCGAACTAATCGTTACCTCGATAAATTCTTTGGAGATACGGTAGTGTCTCGGCTTTAAGTCTCGGCTTTAAGCTAAGCGCAGTAACGCTATCGTGTTC